TTTTTTTTTTGGCTTCTTAAGATAATGTCTTGCTATATAGTTCAGGCTAGCCTTAAACTCACTTCGTATCCCAGGCTGGTCTCAAACTCACAATGATCCTCCTGCCTCAGCCTCTTGAGTTCTGGGATTATAGGTGCATGCCACCAGGTCCAGCAAGACTTGTACTTCTGACTCACTTTTTCTGTTCATGTTTTTCTGCTATTTAATACCAGAGCCACACTGATGGGAGCTTTATAAAACTATGACTTAATTTTTGGCAAGGCTGGCCTTCCTGTTTTTAAAATGTATTTAGTACAGGGTCTATAGGTTCTTCAGGGTCTTACTACACAGATTGGACTGATCATTTAAGTGATTCTCCTGTTTTCAGCCTCCCAAGCACTTGGTGCCACCATGCCCAGTCTGTCCCCAGCTCAGTGCACCCCGGGTCAGGACCCGCATGGCACGCCAGGGGTCAAACCCAGTTCGCTGTGCTCTGCCTAAGCAGGGGCTTTAATCTGCTGAGCTATCTCATCTGCTCAAGGCTGGCCTTTCTTCAGCATTAATTTTTCAAAATTTGTTTTTTTCCTGGTCTACTTATTTGTCATGATTTGGTTCAATGTGTACATTACAATATTTAGAAATAATTTATCCTTCCTTTCTTTTTTTTTAAAAAAATATTTATTTGCTACAGGGTTTCCCCATGCAGTTCAGACTCATAGGGATTGTCCTATTTCAGCCTCCCCAGTGCTGAGATTACAGGCATGGGGTACCACACTGGATTTTGGGGCTAGCACGGCATGTGGTGCCAAGGATCAAACTCAGGTCCTTGTGCTTGCCAGGTGGGCATTTAGACCACTGAGCTGTCTCTCCAATTCTATCCTTCCTTTCAAACCAAAAAATTGAGTTTAAACCTGGTTGATCAAAGGGTGGTGGTCATACTATAGCTGAAAAAAATAATGAAGATTATGTAAAATAAGATGCTGATTCCTGAGAGAAGAGCTTAGTCAGCAGTTCCCCTGAGTCTTCCTGCAGGACATGCAGAGAGGCACTCAACGGCCCTCACACCTAGTCTGAGAGCATCGGTTTGTTTGCCTCAGTCCTGGCAGGACTCTGGCGCTTCAGCATCTTCGAAAAAAAACTTTTCCCCTCATATTTCTGCCTCTCCAAATCTAAGAGATCATCTAAAACTATACTAATTTTGAGAGCATGGTAACTTTGGTCATCATTTGACTGGCTCTCTCTGATTTTAGCTTTGTCTATAACCAAACTTGAATGTGGCTAATTTGTAAGTAGATAATTTAGAGGTTAATAAAACATTTTTTTTTTCTTTTTCAGACAGGGTCTCACTGTGCAGTTCAGTCTGGTCTTGAACTCACTTTGTAGCCCATGCTGTTCTCAAACTCCCAACAATCCTCCTGCCTCAACCACCCTAGTGTTGCGATTACAGGCTTCACCACCACACCAGGTTAAAAAAACAATTCTTGAATCCCTACTATATGCCAGGCAGGTACTACACACTTTATATGCATTAAATAATGTGATCCTTTCAAATAAAGAAAACAGGCTGAGTTGGGTGTGGTGGTGCACACCTGCAATTCCAGTACTCTGGAAGGCTAAAGCCCAGCAAGTAAGCAATTTAGTATAAACTTATCTCTAAAAAAGGCAGTGGGATGGGGAAGTAGGGGTTGAGAATGTAGCTCAGTATACAGATTCTCATTAAAAAAAAAAAAAGTTGAAATGAAGACACACTTAAGGTAAAATTCATTCCTGTATTCAAGCCCAGTCTTTTTCTAGGCCCTGTCTCAACTAACAAAAGGAGAATATGTTAATGAATCCTTTGACCTTTCCTCCACTGATGTTCTTTATGGAATCTAGGAGAAAGGGCTGTGCTAGGCAGGGCTGCTACCTGGGGTGAGGATTCCCAGGTTTAAACTAAAAATTGCCAAGATAACGTAAGGTATCAACACATGTATAGGAAGTTATTCACGGTAAACTCATCAGCAATTTCATGCTGAACAGTGTCTATGTGTATAAGTTAGCCACAATCACTGGAAAGACTGGTTTTCAAAAGCAGGCCTCTTTTTATACTATCCGCCTTCGTATCTCAAACCATATAACATGTGTTATTAGACACTCTGGTTCTCAGATAAGGAAACTGAAGCTCAGTATGTTCACGCAGCTTTACTGATAGGCAAATGAATGGCATAGGTAAGATTTGACCCCAATCTTTCATCTGTTTCTGCAACCTCTGAACTTTCTGCTGAAATTGGAATCATCTAACATACTCTGCAGCATGGATGGTGAACCTTTTGGAGACCAACTGCCTAAAGTGTAACTCCAAACTCACTTATCACAAGGTGCTAACACTGCATCTACCCCTGAATATATGACACCTAGCTGTTGGGTTGATGTTGGGGCAACTTGGCTTACATGCCAACAGAGGGCTCTGTGTGCCACACTTTTGCCACCACTGGTCTAGGGCTATGGAGTACACATGTACGCTCTTATTAAGAGCTAGGCATGGTGGCATGCACCTATAATCCCAGCACTGGGAGGCTGAGGCAAGAGAATCACAAGTTTGAGGCCAGCCTGGGCTACATAGCGAGTTCAAGGTCAGACTGAATTACACATGGAGACATTGTCTCAAAAAATAAAAACAAAACAAGAATAAAAGGCATGTTTCTGCTTTAACATTTAGAACTTGGACTTTAGTGCATGGTGGTAGATGTGGTCTAGTTTTAGTCTTCAGAATGTGGACAGCTAGCTTTTCTAGCACCTTTTATTAAAGAGGCTTCCAGTGAACATGTTTGCCCTCTGTCAAAGATAAGGCGTGCTAGCATTTGTATCTGCATCTTCTAATCTGTTCACAGATCCGCGGGTCTGTTTTTTTTTTTTTTTTTTTTGCCAGTACTATGCTGATTTTATTTTATTTTACTTTATTTAATTTTATTATTTTATTGTATTTTAGGGAAGGGTCTACAGGGTGTTCAGGGTCTCACTACTAGATTGGACTCGTAGTGATGTGCCTGTTTACAGTCTCCCAAGAGCTGGGATTACAGGTGCTCACCAACACACCCAGTCTCAATTGCCATCTCAGAGTGCCCCGGGGCGGGGCTGGGACCAGGACGGCAGGCCTGGGGATCGAAGCTCTGGCCCCTGCTCCTGCTTGCAGGTGCTCTAATCTACTAGCCATCTGGCCAGCCTTCATGCTGATTTCATCACAGTAGCACCGCAGTATAACTTCAAGTCAGGGGTTCTGATGCCTCCTGCCTTGCACTTGTTGCCCCAGATTGCTTTTGCTATTCTGGGTCTCTTCTGGTGCCTACAGATTTTTGGAATGTTTTCTCTAGATTTATGAGGTATACTAAAAGTATTTTGTTTGGGAATTCATTAAATAATGCCTAACTTTTTGGACCAATTTTGCATGTTTATGTCTGGTAATCTGAACAACTACTTTGAAAACAACAATATGCAATGTTACAACTATTGTTGAATTTCCATCACCTTGGTTTTTAAAAATTCTGCATTATTTCTAATATTTTAAAAAATATTTGTTATTCTACTAAAGATAAAAAAGTAAGATATCTGGTTAATTTATTATGGCTATCATGTTATAGATATTTTAACATTCTACCTAACGTTAACACTTTCTTCCTTTAAAATAGGAATGTTAGCACAAAGGATGTGTTCTACGACATTTCTACCAAGAAACTCCTCAAATACTTGGATGTAAGTGAAAATGTGAGACACTTTTTTCCTCTTGAGGGCAGCAGGATATCATTTGGACTGGTGACATCTGCATACTAAGAGTTAAGACTTCTATGTTGTAATTAACATGGAGAGCCTTACCTGACATGTGGATGTGGGAACGCCGCTGTAGTTATACCCTTCTGCACATGTCAGAAAAACATGCTTGTTCACGCTGAAATCGTCTCCATGAACAAGTATGTGAGTTAAGTTTGATGGCAAAGAACAATTTTTAGAACTGCAGGAGATCATCTCGGGGAACCAGTGACCATCCTTCTGGCAGGTAAATGTGTCCGTGTCTGTGTCCATCCTGTAGCCTTCCAAGCACCTGCAAAGGAAGTGCAACAGAAGGAGTGATTTAAAGAAAATATAATAAGTTCTTGACCTATTGTTGGAGTTACAAAGCTTAGTATACATTTTCTATAGTATAGCAAAAGAGGTTCATATTCAGATGGATGGCATTGCTGCGTAAGAACATTACCATAATGATATTAATAATAGATTAATAATAGATCAGTGCTTCGGGCCTTAGTAGTGTACGTTTTGCAAAGGGCAGGGAATAAAGAGATGGAGGGAGTGGGGGGAAGCGAGGTGAAGAGGAGATAAAAATAATTAAGCTGTGCTGTGCACCTGTAATAGCTCCCCATGATGAGTATGATCATTATGCGTTGCCAGGGTACTGATAAAGCAGTTTAAAAGCCTAAAGTTGCTTTATGTGTTATCGATGCTATTTATCATCATTGTGAGTAACATCATTACTGCCCTAATTTTATTGTAAAAACAGCTATCTGCTCAAGAAGTTTTAGTCTAAGTTAAAAATAGACTCATACTGCCAAAAACGTTTCTTGGATATACTAAGTGCTATTCTAGGGGCTACGTTTGACATTTCTCTTAATCCTGTATCTCCTGGATTAGGGTTGAAATTCAACTCAATGTGATTCTCAAATCTTCTATGATTTTCAAAATCTGCACTTCTTTATTAAGAAAGGTTTACAAAGCATTTATTATACTTACTCTCCTAAGTTTTCTACATATGTCAGTTCATTACATTCTCATGTCAATCCGATAGGTAGTACCTTTAGTCCCATTTTCCAGAAGATAAATCTTACACCAGGGAGATTAAGTAGCTTCCACAAGGCTGCACAGCTAAGGAATGGCAGAGCTGAGCCCTTACTTCCTAGTACAGCAGTGTAACAGAGTCCTAAAACCATAGACTCGAGGGGGAATCTGGCTCTGATGTCGGCTTTTACTACACTACACTGCCTTTTAAAAATGAAACCATTTAATTCACATTTATTTCTGGAAAACATTTTTAAGAACTCCCAACCTACTAGGCTTAGGAATCAGAGGTTTTGCAAACTTGTAGTTAATTTAATTATCAGACACTAAGTAAAGATTTGGAAGAGGATGTAATACCATGTGTTATGAAACAAAAAAGCAAGGAAATCTTGAGAAGCAGGTGACACTGTGGCTTCTCAGGATACTTGGCACACCAACACCCAAAGGTAAATTTTCAAATGTCTTTCAAAGCCAAGGAGGAATATTTTTGCTGATTAGTGCATGATATAGCCTTCTTTGGCTTCATTATTATTTCAAATTCCTCTTGGATCTACTTACTGCGATTAACAAAATTTGAAGTTGGGGCTAAGCTGTCCACAACAGAATATCTTAAGAAGAGTTGTTGAATTATTTATTAATCAAATTGAACATACCAATACATGAAGGCTAACCTGTAATACATTGAGAGATGTGAATAAAATTTAAAATGTCTTTGAAGGTTCCAATAAATACCTTTGAATACTTAAGTATTTACTCCAACAGAAATTTAATTCCCAAATTCCACATTTTTATCATTTGTAAAATAATACATTTTACAAAGGGAACTTTCCAGCAAAATATCATTATTTGGGCATTAGATGCTTAGTTTCTTAGAAATATGAATAGAAGGCCCTTTTGGAATACCTCCTTATTCATAAAAGTGTAAGCAATTGTTTTCCCAGGGGGCTTTTGCCTTAGCTTTTCTAGCATTTACATGTATGAATATTACCATCAGGTTATAATCATGAAGAAATTTACATCCTGTTGTTTCAAAAGGAGTTTCACAATTCCAGTGTTATTCAAGCTGGCTAGAGGATCTTGCTGTTTCATAATAGCCATAATAATTATATTAGAAACCACAATGTGACAAAGTATAGATTTTTTTTTGTAGAGCCAGTGGATTCTTTCATAATTATGCATAGAATAAATCCAAATGTTAAAAGATTTGGGCTTTGGAGAGCAGTCCAGAGACACTGTTATCTTCCCTATTAGCTAAATTTGTGACATACCACTTTTCATTTTATAATCCTCTTCCCTGCAGCCTCTACAGTCTCAGTCTTACCTGAGCTTCACTTTGCTTTCATAGGTGTGTTCCTCTCCAGTTGCCACTGCATTGGCGACAAATGGTGGGGGTCCACAAGACAGGGGCTCACAGACTGGGTAAGGTTGACTCCACATCCCTCTCTCTGTACAAACCAGCTCCGAGCTGCCTTGCATGACATAGCCAGGTCTGCAGCTGTACATTACTATGCTTTCCCGCAGAGGTCTCTTTTCACTGATGATTGCATTTGGTATCACTGGGAGAGAGCCACACAAGATGTGTTCACAGTGTGGGAAGCCAGAGCTCCATTGGCCATTGGCTTCGCAGGTGATTTCAGAAGGTCCCAGGAGATGGAAGCCCTTGAAGCACTGAATATTAACAGTCTCTCCACAATCAAAATCTGTCCTGTTGATAGTTCCACATGGAATTTCTGGAGTGGAACACCTACAAGATAGGCAGGAAGGTGGATTTCCACTCCAGGAGCCATTGGAAAGACATCTTCTCAAAGGACTTCCATGGAGCTTATAACCAGGAAAGCACTGATACTGTACATCTCTCCCATGATAAAAGGAAAACCCATGGGCAAGATCCTCAGGAGGCCCACAGCTGAGTGGTTTACAGAGAGGCACTTCTTCATCCCAATTACCATCTGACTGACAGGTGAGTTTTGGAGCACCATGTAGCACATAGCCCTCATGACAATGGAACACTACTTCCTTCATGAAGCCATAGTCCAACCCATCCATCATCCCATTTTCTATCTGTGCTGGGGCGGCACATTTGACAGGTACACAACTGGGAGTGACTCCACTCCAACTGCCATTGTCAAGACAAACACGACTGCTGGCTCCCTCAAGCAAGAACCCTTCAGTGCAAGTGTACTCAATCTCTTTTTGGAATGTGTACTTATCTCCTTCCACTTGGCCATTAGCCGGAACTGGGGGTGAGCCACAGTCCACAGGAATGCAAACTGGCTCTTCCCCATCCCAGTTTCTATTTTCCTGGCATGTTCTCCTCTCGGTGCCATTCAGTATATACCCAGGGTCACACTCATAGTGTACCACATTCAAGTATGCATAACTGTTCCCTTTGATGCATCCATTCATAATAGGCTTTGGCTTTTTACACAAAATGGCTTCGCAGCGAGGGGAAGCGCCACTCCACTTCCTATTCTGCAGACAAAGTCGTAGGTCAGGGCCCACTAGAATGTGCCCAGGTTTGCAGCTATACTGCACGGCGCTGCCCATGGTAGTCTCTGCAAAATGCAAAAAGCCATTTTCAGGAGCAACAGGCAAGTCACATTCAATTGAAATACAGGAAGGGGCACTGCCATTCCATGTTCCATCTTCCTGGCAGATCAGCATAGGGTTCCCCAAAAGTTCATATCCTGGGTTACAGGTGTATAAAACCATAGTGCCATACAGAAAGTTGGAGGAATGTGTAGCCTGACCCTCCTTTTTATTTTCCAAGGTTTTAGCTACTGCTCCCAAATGATGAGGAGGGTGAGAAGTCAGGTATGGGACTTCCATCATGTCCACTTCTTGGTCAAAATATTCCTGGCTGTCTTTGACTTTAGTACAGTCTCCAAAGTCTATGTGAGGAGGGAGACCACAATCTATGGGTACACACGTTGGGACGGAGCTTGACCACCCAGACTCTTCACAGGTCTGCATGGCATGACCAGCCACCTGAAACCCAGGGAAGCAGCTGTAGATGATTACAGCACCATGGCTGTAATCTGCGCCTTCTACAAAACCATTTTCAATGGGTTGTGGGGGATTACAGTGGATGGCATTGCAAGATGGGGCATCTACATCCCAGTCACCTGTCTCTAAACAGGTCAAGGCATTGGGACCTTCAAGCCGGAAGCCTCGGTCACAAGAGTACATGACAGTCTTTCCATAGTGAAGATTTGTGTAAGAGAATTTGCCATGCAAAATCTCCTTGGGCTGTGGGCACTCAATTGGTTTACAGGTTGGTTTTCCTCCGAGCCAATGACCACTTTCTCCACAAAGGGTAGTAGTGTTTCCCACCAGCTCAAAGCCGGGTTTACAAGTGTAGAGAGCTGTGCTGAGATAAGCCAAGCCTTGCACGTCCACCATGCCATTGGGGATGTCCTCAGGTTGGGGGCATTCTACTGGAACACATTCTGGCAGTGGAGAGCTCCAGGTGCCATCAGCTTGGCAAACAGTGGCAGGATTCCCTCTGAGGAAAAAGCCTTCTACACAAGAATACATGACCGTATTTCCAAAGTGCAGAACAGAAGAAGGTGCAGGAGCACCGAAGGGAATTAGGGGAGGTGGACGGCAAAGAACCATCTTACATACAGGAAAAGAGTTGTTCCACTGCTGGGATGGCAAGCATTTCAGAACTGAAGGGCCTTTCAGGACGTGCCCCTCTCTACAAGAAAGTGTCACCACCCCTACCTCAGAAGTTAACTCCTTCAGTATGAGCTGATTGTCCAAGAGGGGTGGGTCTGGGCACTTGGCAAGCACGCACTTTGGGTTGTTTAGCTTCTTATTCCATTTGCCAGATTTCTGGCACGTCCAGAAATGATCACCAATAAGTTCATAGCCTTCGTTACAGAAAAACTGAACCTTGGATCCTACTTCGAAGCTGTCTCCTCTTGTGAAGCCATTCTGGATCGCAGGAGGCTTCCCACAGTGCAGAGGGGTGCATGACAGAGGGGATTCGCTGTGCCAGTGGCGATTGGCTTGGCAAACAAACACGGGACTTCCGACTGGCCTATAGCCTGGGTTACACTGATACCTCACTTGGCTCTCAAACGTCCTGCCAGTTGTGTGCTGAGTAACAGGGAGAAAAGAAGTGAGTGCAGGGCATAACATGGACAGCACAGTTGTTTAAACATCTCAATAGCCAAAAAGAACAACACTAGAAGAAAAAGGAGAAACAAAGTATCAGAGTGAATCCATTAGAAGCAAATAAAGATTTGTGGGTTTTTCCCAGTT